TTAAACAGTTTTCGTAATCAAAATGAAAAAAAAATAAATATATATATATATATATATATTTGATTTTGTGGACAAGCTAATTGTTGAAGAAAAAGTTGTTTGTTTCTGGTGATCTTTTTATGTTTTTGTTTTTCGTGAAAACAATTATTTTTATATCATAATCTTTGATCGTGACCAGCAAAAATAATTTAAAAAAAAAATCAACGTACCTATTGTCCCACCACAAGACATGCATACGAATTATTTTTTGAACAATCATGGCCACATCATTATCATCATGTTCTATCTTGTTGGCTTATGTTTCAAGTTTCAGCTTTTTTAAATTTTACTAATTTTATTTTATCCTCTTTGACTTTTTGCAAAATGTTAACATGGAATTATCATCCATTAAAAAGTTATCACATTATTATTATATTTTTATTGTGTCACACATGTTATTAATTCCATACAGTATCATCATCAAATGGGAAATGCTTGATTATTATTACTATTATTTAAAAATCAAAATACGGTTAAACACTAATTTGAAAGTATTATGTTAATATTTTGTTATTTTAGTCCTTAAATCTAGATATAAAAAAAATCACGTCCCTTTAAAAAGAATTAGTGGTCATTTTTTTTTAAATTGATCCTTTAATTTACAAATTTCGGTTATCAGACGTCAAAAAATATATTAAAATATAGTTTAGAACTCAATTTTACTTTAATTAGACGTTTTACTATGTTAAGTGAAGAGAGTTTATCTAAATTTTCAGTGTGAATCTTTTTTTTTGTATGCCTTTAATTTTTTTTTAAAATAAAGTTGTTAAACATTAATATATTTTTAACAACGGCTATACATGACTAAAATGAATTATTTTAAATTTGATAGCAAACATTTACATGCTTTTAGAAATAATCGCTTTTAATTTGGAAAGAAAAAAAAAACTTAGTATGAATTTGAAAGAAAAAATTGAATAAAAAATTTAAAACCAAATGAGATCTACTACTTGGGATTGAAGAACTAAACATAGCTATTTCAGTTTGAAAGAGAAAAAGAATTTAAACATTTAAGTTTAAGCAATTACAGAGTGAATGAGATACTTTTTGTCAATATAAATTGTTATGTCCCAATAGGTATCAAGTACATGTGATATCAACGTATTATTATTATTATTATTATTATTATTATTAGGACCGACACATACATGTGCAGATATCAAAATGATACAGTATTTTGAGCAATTTTACAAAAATATGTTTTTCATTACTATAAATAGACGTTTTAATTTATAAATACGTGTATTTGGAATTATTTGGTTTATATTTATTCTTATCACATCCGATAATTACAAAATTCTTTAAAATTATGAATCATTCTTCTTAAATATTAATGAATAATGCCTCTCTTATGAAAGTAATATTCACCTAATATCATTTTTCAAAATACTGAAAATTGAAACACTTTGTTGTTGTTAAAGTTGTGATTTCATTGCAATCAAAGCTTAATGGCAAAGGAAGAAAAAGAAGTTAAAAAGCAGAAAAGGCTGAGAAGAAAGGCACAATAGGTGATAGTTAGCAGACAATCTAACCTAATGGAATCCAAAGATTTTGCTATTTTGACCATTTCTGTGGGAGATAGAATCCTAGGTTACATTACCAACGTTGTTTAATGGCTTATAATCTCTTTTGGTCATTCGAAAAAAAATAATCCTACTTTTTTACTGAACGTTTTTTAATATTATTTTTCAAAATACCATTTTTTTCATGACCGTTTTTAACTTTTTAAAAAGATAGGATGATTTTATATATTTTTCCTTTTTCAAGAACTAAAGGAGATATTCAGCTTTTCTTAATGGACTAAGAAGCAAGAATGAGAACTATTTTCTTATTTTTCACTGTAAAGACTCGCATTTTAATTATTATTTTATAAACAATTAGCTACTAGGAAATTGATTGTGATATATTATCTCTTTCATTTTGCTAATCTTTAATAATTTGTGAGTTTCAGTGGATTATATGATTTTTAATATCTTTATAACTTTTATTTAAATTTGATTGATAAATTTCATATTTTAGTTAATTTTAATTATATGATTGGTAAAAATACATGTTTACTGTTTAGGTAAATAGTCAGTTCATTATAATAAACATTCATATATTTTATTTATAATATGAAAAAAAAATAGTATAAAAATATTAATTTTGATAATTTTGTTTGCAGTTTGTTAATAATTGGAGTTATGGTTTAGTGATAAATTTCATAATCAAGTAGTTATTTATTTTTACTATGCCTGACACTTTCGGATAAATATTAACTTTAACATCACTGCTTTGTTATGTAGTAATCCTACTCAACCAAACTATGGAGAAAAGACCGAAAATAAAACATTAATCTGAACTTTAAAATTGGAGACCGTTCCTAGAAGCAGACTTAACTCCATTTTCATAAACTAAAACAATACTTTTTCTTTTCAGTTTAAAAATCTCGTTATGAATTACTAAAGATGAAACAATTGTTTAATTATCTTAATCATTAATAAAGTTCAAACAAAATTAATAAAATTGTAGTCTTTGTTTCAAAGCTATTCTTTTTCATTGTAATAAAAATAAAATATATTGATATTTGTTATACTAGAGTAATTGTTTACTCATAAATATTTTTTTTTATTCTTGTGTTGAGGTTAATGATTTGTCAACGTATTTTAATAAGAAAGACTAGTCTTAAATTTATAATTACAAATATGATCCCAACTTGGAAAATTCCTTTATTTAAAGGGGTTTCAATTTATTAGGAACAAATTAGAGTTAAATAAAGTTACTCTCAAATGGATATTCCTAAAAATGATAAACAAAAATAATTTTGTATTTTTAATTCCTTTTTCTCCCACCTTCTTTTGATCCAATTAGAAAGTACTGCTAGCAAGATTAACTCTAGCTATGCAATACATTTTTTTTAAAACTGAATAGTTAGAATAATCTAATCATAAGTTATATTCAAAATTTTTAACATTTTTTAAAAAATTATTTCAATTAAGGGATCGAGATTATATGTTTGCTAAGTCATGTGGGTCCTTATGTTTGTTTTTATCACTATTCGTCCTTCAAAATATTCAATCTAATTGGAAGGTTACCTGCAGAAGATATTCCGATGTCAAAGTCTGTAAAGATTCAGTTAGTTCAACCCTTAATGCGTAATAAATGCACCTACCTTTTTACCTTAAACCTACATTTATAGATTTCAGAATGAACTTTGACGATCTAATTATGGTCCAATTGGTACTGATTGTATTTTGTCGTAAGTTAATCACCATAAGGTCTAATTATTGTTTAAGGATGACCATGCAGTCTATGGACCATGACCAACTGGTCTCTTGGGTGGTCTCTTAGGTGGTTGTCAAGGTCATTCTGGACTGCATAAATATACAGTTAGTCAAACAATCATATGGTACAAAGATTAAAGTGAAACAATGAGATTTTTAATAATGTTTAAAAAGGTTTTTAAAAATAGTTAAGGCAACACAAACAATGGTGTTGCCGAGGTTTCAGTGGGAGAGAAAAGAAACCAAAATAATTGAAAGGAAAATGAGGATGAATGCTTAATCATATTTAAAAAGTTACATTTATTTACAAAATTGTCAATGCATATTTTTTATAACGATAACTTTAAAATTATTGAGAAAATAAAAGGTAGAAAACAAATCCTAAAAAGACAATTAGTATTGTCAAAATAGATTTCATAAGTCAATCTGACCCATTACGAGTTCAGATTAGGTTGGTTTGAAAAAAATTTAAAATTTTGATATAGGTCAATTTTGAACTCGACTCACTAAGTCGAGTTGGCTTATTAACTTATCTAATTTTTTTAATAAGTAATTTTTATTGGGTTAATAATTTTGCAAAATATTGAAATGAAGGTTTGCGTGAAATTATTTTTGTATGAAACAATTAAGTAACATGAAATATTCACAAATATATATTTAGTAACTTTATTTTTATGAAAAAATAAGTTTGAATCGCTATGAAGCCATTAAAAAATTTGTTGATGATATTTTGGGATATCTTTTTACGTGAATAAAATCTTATGTTTGATTCATTATAAATTTAATTTAAGACCCTTCTCCTTTATTTATATTTGAATTAGAAATTTTTTGTTATTTTTTCCTCAAGAAGAAACTTATAACTAAATGAGTCAGTGAGTTAACTCGTTTAACTCAACAACCCGTTATAGGTTGGGTCATGCTCAAATTTTTTCGACTTGCTAATAATTGAACTGAATTGTGTTGACTCACTAAGTGACCAATTCATAGTAGGCCGAACCTAGTCAAACCGTAGACTATATTGACAATACTAAACACAATGCAATTCTTTTTTAAATTTTAAACCTATGGATGAGTAGGTGTTCACTATCCAACTTTAATAAGAATATATATATATATATATATATATATATATATATATATATATATATATATATATATATATATATATATATATATATATATATATATATATATATATATATATATATATATATATATATTAAGGTTAACATTTGTAGCCAGAGTTTATAATTGGTGTAACTTTTAACATTAACGCATTGGTATTAAAGTCAACTCTAAATATCCTTTCAAAATAGCAACTAATAATTGGATGGAACTTCACATTTAAATATCATCAAATTTAAAATTTCTTTAGTTAGATTTTGTTCTTTGACTTATCTTAGAAGAGAAACTAAACGCTTCTATTATTTTTTATTTGCATGTGAAAAGTGCATAGATCAAGTCACACAATTACTTCAACTATAGTTGTGGTGCCGGTCAAAAGATTGCATATCAAGTATTTTTTCACAACCATCTTATTTTGTTTAGGGTTAAATATGTTTTTAGTCCCCAAACTATTGGCCGTTTATGGTTTTCGTCCCTCTTTCAAAATAAGGTACAATTTGGTCCTATTTTTTTCAAAACGTTGATTTTAGTCCTCGAAAACTAAACTCAATTCTATCCAATGTGGGACTTGGACTCACTTGGATTTCCAAGAGTAAGAATGTGTGATACAACAATAAAAGAGATACAAAATTGTACTTAAGTTGATGAGTGAATTGAATGGATTGGTCAAAATTCTCATCAGAAGCATGGGGTGGTTTAAGGGGTATTGGAGGCATGATATGTTCAAAGATTACTATGTAAAGATTGTAGCTGAGACATAACTTCCTTTCTGACTTGATCTCTTCTTATTTTCCCTGTTGTAGTCAGTGGAAATGGCTTTTTCCATGAAATGAACATTTTTGGTATCTTAAACCTGAAAAGAGAATAAAAAGAAATCATCACTTGCTTCCCTCAACCAAACTATTCTATTACAAACATGGATTTTGGAGAAATACCTGCTTAAATGATTTTCTATACAATATAGCTGGAGATTCTTTCTGGATAGGTTAAACTCTTCATCTGAAACAGTCAATTGCTCTGACCATTGCCAATTTTCTCTAAGTTGGATACATGCTGCTACCATCTCTGTTAGGTGAGCATCTGGGATTCCCACAACAACAACATTTGTAATCCCTGGATGCTGTAGTAGAATTGCCTCAACCTACTTCAAACAAATAATATGTTCACTCTTCCATTGAGTTGTAAATACCATAAATAAAGTAAAGACAAGCATTTGACAGAACAAAAGAAGCAAGACTTGATGAACTTCTGAACATGTAAAGCAGAAATGTTTCACATTATTTATAATTATTCTTCTTACACTACTTGTACAAGTCTGAAATTTTATTTTTAGACGTACCATTGGTTTATTTAAACATTGGTTGCATGGATATTCTAATATCCTGCTTTTGATAAATGAATGTTAGACATTTCTCAATGAACGTACTTGGAATTTTATAGCCTTGGTTGGATGGATATGTGATGAGTGAAACCATTGAAAGGATATAGTTTGAATAAATACGACATTTTCATGAATGGAAATGAATAAACTATTATAACCCTTCATGAAAAGGTTGGTCTTATTTCATTTCTTTATGTACACAAGAGACTTTTTGTCCTGATAGTCAAAATCTAAGAAAGAAGAGGAGGAAGATTCCATGTTCTTGTTTAATTTATATAGAAGCATTCTAATAGATTCCAATTAACTAAGAAACAATGACATCGCAAGGTAAGTGTCATGAACCTTTTCTTATTATTTTAACAGCTTATTCTTTTGGTTTAAGTTTGTTTTTTATGATAAGGCAACAAAATTAGGTGACACTTCTATTACCTCTTCAGGGTAAATGTTCTCCCCACCACTCTTGATTCGACCATTTGTTCGACCAAGAAGCCACAAGTTACCATAATGATCAATTGATCCAATATCACCCGTGTCAAGCCAGACTTCATTGTTCGGGCTTACTGGATTTGTGTGAGTTTCCCAATACCTAAGCATTATATGTGGTCCTCTTGTTAGAATTCTTCCAATTAGACCAGAAGCATCTGCACTTATCTTCAGTTCTACATGGGGTGCAGGCTTGCCAACACAGACACCTTGTGGCTGCTGAATAAACTTGGATCCTGCCACACCAAATGTTTGAAGGGACATGGTTGTCTTTTCATCCACTGGATCATACAGCACCAGGAATGTCAATGAAGAGCAGGTCTCTGTCATTCCTTTGATAAATGAAACAGACAAAGGCTATAAGACCAGAATAGTGAATTTCCATCTATTATACACAAGAGAACATAGAGAAATTTAAAAAATGTCAAATTTCAGTGGCCATCACATCATACATTATAAATTTTTGTCATTTGGTATGCTGTATTGAGTAAACATATACTGATAATATATATATATAACGGAGAAAAGTGAAACTTTTGATCTTGTCATAGTAAAGAAACAGAAGCACACGTTCTTCAAGGTAGACTTAACTGTTTGTGGGCTTGTCTTTTACTTTGGTTAAGATAATGTTCTCCAGCCTACTAAATCAAACCAGTAATTTCATAGATACAGATTTGGGGATGCCATTCCTTCATCGTGCTTTTTGCAGTAGAACAAATATCCCGAGTATCTATTAGCCCAGCTAGATAGGTAAATAATGAATCAACGGCTTTCGGATATCTAATAAAGCAGCTGGAATTAGGAAGATGATCAAACTAGGATACGGCCAAATTTCTGGTGACTATGTAGGAGATAAACTTTAAATGGCTTTAAATGAAATTCCTTGAAAAAATATATATACTTATTGGCAGGACCAGGTTTCTGTTTTACCATACACTTTTAAAGCCACATATAATAAACTGGGATGTTAATAAAAAGAAAACATTAAGCACTGGAAACATCTGCAAAGGATTTTAGTATCTTGGCACATTGGTCCAAATTAATGGGGCTTTCAATATGCAGTACCTTGGTATAATCTTTTAATATGGAACTAAGTATATTATAGATTTTGGTTTCTAATATGGTTTATTTGACTGTTCCGCTGTTAAATTGATTACTTGAAGTGTGTATTCAATTTGTTTCACAGATCCTGCTGGAAATTACTTGTTCTAATCATGGTATGATAGTTGGCTAAATATTTTGCAATTTCTTCTCAGTTCTTATCTTTCTTTTTCCTTCTTCTCCCTTAATTTTGTATCATCTCTCACTCTCTAGGTTGTTTACTTATATATTTTTCTTCTCCTAGCTGCACATATTTTCTTATTCATATTTTCAAGAGTAAAAAATCTATCAACCTAAAAGCACTCACATGCAAAAGTACGTTAATACAACTTCAATTTCGTATGCAAGTTTTTAACATCTAAAATTAGACAATAAAGTTTCTTCTAGCCAACATAGGGATAACAAAGATGTACCATAAGCTGAAATAAGCTTAGCTTTGTGAAAGAATATGCTACTGTCCTTGATGAGCTCATGTGAGAGGCTTCCACCCCCATTAAGTATTTTCTTGACAGTTTCACCTCCTTTCCAAATCTCTTTGGGCCTAAAAAATTATCAAAACAAATCTAGATTGAAAAAGTTGAAAAAATGTATTCATAAACTCTTATACTTGGCTTCTAAGGTAAGAAGATAACATAACATTTATGAAGAAGAATTCCTAGCATATTAGAGGATGAAAGAGAGTTTGATCCATAAAACCTGACATCTTTAGAACATTTATCTTGAGCAGCTGAAATATAATTTCATTTTACTGTAGTTTAAAAGATTGCAATACTAATTTAGCAATATTTACTTTGTGATAATCTTTGTTTCAAAGAAGGACAAGTTTTGTCCCTATTGACACTGGAATATACCTAATTACAGAAATCAGACTGGCCATTATTGCAGGAACTGTGATAAAAGATGTCACTGCATATTGCTCTATGGCACCAACAGCTGATTCTGCATCAAACTTTGGCATCAGGACATGACAACCTCCAACCATAAGCATGGTCATGGCCGATGACAAGCCACCAATATGGCATAACGGAGCAGTATGCAGATAGACCTGTAATAGAACAAATGCCATTAACATGGAAAACTTAATCATCCTTCAGCTGGATTTACGATGTATCTTGCATATATGTAAAATCTTAGGATCCAGATCCTCTAAAATAAGTAACTTGCTTTGGGGTGTACAGTGAGAAATCTCAGTCGTTGATGAGAAAATTAACAATCAATATTATGTGCACATACATAACAAATTATTCATGTTATCAATCATTGATTTTCTCACCAATGATTGAAATTACTTACTTTATCTTTTCTCACTTTAGAGAAGCCAAATTCAAAATCATAATATTAACAGTCTCGTTGTAACACGGGAAGGCATACATCATCCTCATTGTAGCCAACTATGGCAATCTTGGCTAAGGATTGTATGATCAAAGCTCCATGACTTAGAGTGACTCCCTTAGGCTTTCCCGTAGTTCCTAGAGTCAGGAATACAACAATTTCAGGAGACAAGAAGAAGATATATTTGATCAGAATTTAACATCCCTAGAATAATATTTAAGCAGTAACACATACACTACTACTAAAAAGTCACGTCAAACTTCTACTTATCTGCAACTAACATGTAAATAATAATTTTGGAAATATTGATTGAATATTTCTTTTCAAACTCCTAAAAGTGAACTAAAAATTGATTTCAGGAGTATGAAAAGAAATATTTCCAATAACTACAAATCTTACTGCTCTTTTTCACTTTGTACCTCAAAGAATCCGCTCCAGTGCCCGTATTCAAAGATTGCAGGTAAATCAATCTAAAAAATCATTCCCACTTAGTTAAACAAGCTTCTATTTTGCAGATGGAACCGGTATGGCATACACAATAGTTATTTTCATCAATCATGTATGAAATCCATTTCTATAAGTCATTTGACAGGGCAAATTATTCAACCTAACTTGCAGTTTGTTAGTGAGTTAGTTCATCCACATATTTACTTTCAGATAATGCAGAAATAATTGCCTTCTGTGGAAAGTTTATTTTCTATTTTCTTTTATGTAGCTTAACAACTACTTGATTTATTCCAAATAACACGGATTTTATTTGCAATGTCACCTCTGCAACCAAAATCTTCCTATCTAGCAACAGTTTTCATCCTAAATTTCTTATAAATGGTCCTGGACTCTTGGTATTCCATTCCAGTCACCACTAAATTCCCTGCCCCCTTACTTCTCCACTAACCCCCAAACCACGATCAATTGGAGTCCTGAGGAAAAGCATCTGAGTGAGAATCTTGAACCTGAAGTAAAGCATATTATGACAGTGCCTTCAGGTGCCCATGAGTAGTCAAATGGTTCAACCTTTACAGGATGCCTCTTAATCATTTCTGGAGTTAACACTGCAAGGCAGTAAAATTAGTAAGTTATAAAGATCATTCAAGTGAAAAAAGGTTTCATATATATTTTTCACAATGGTGACTAAGCACCCAGTAATATTCCTACCATTCCACTTTGTAAAATCTAAAGAAGCGGAATCCAACAAAATATGCCACTTCAGAGATGGAATATCATTTTGCTGGAGTTTTGAGTACCATGTGGAACTGCTCTCGTCAGTCACTAGTAACACTGGCTTCACTGCAGCCAAAGCTAATCTTGCCTCTTCAAAACTCTGCAGCAAAGAAAATTGTTTTAAAGCATGACTTTATATGATTGGTAGATGAAACAGATTATGAGAGAAGAAAGTGCAGATAAAATAACGGAAAAATACATTTTTAGTTCTTGTACTTTTAGTCAAATGTGGTCAGTCAGTCTCTACATTTTCACATTGATGAATATAGTCCTCAATTTTTAAAATTATGTGAATTTAGTCTTTCTTAGTCTAAAAAACATGGTGAATTGTTTTGAACACACGGCTAAATTCACATATGCTTTCAAGTTTGAGGACCAGACTTTTGCCCATATGAAGTATAGGAACCGTGACCATGTTTGACTGAAAGTATGTAGACTAAAAGCATATTTTTCCCAATAAGGGAAAAAAATAACAACCAGTACAAGGCTGAAAACATGTTAACTTTTAAGGTGAGCTAGTAATGAACCATAAAAAGTTGAGTTGAACATTGCTCTGAAATACCATATTGGCATCAAGATGGTTTCAAGATAATACCAAGGTTTTTTTTTCTTTTGGAAAAAAGTGAAAGAGTAGCACACAAGTCAAAGCTAGGCAAATAAGTATACAGAATATTTACTCACCCATCTATAGTTCAGAGGAGCAGCTATTCCTCCAACAAATGCAACGGCTAATAGCCATTCCAGATACCTATCACTGAAAAAAAAAACTCTACTATCATCGACAAAAGTCAATTAGCCATAACTAGACATTTCATAGGGTAGGATAACGTGTTTATAGATTGTACAACAAAGATCAATCCTTATTGTTGTTGCAAGGGAACTAATGCCTCCTAGGCCTCTCATAAGCCCTAAAAAACAACACAAATAACAAATATAATATTTTAAAACACCTAGAATCTTTGCATTAACAATGAAGGTAAAACAGTTCGTAATGTATGTATATCTTGCTCGACTACATTCAGTTGTAAACGAGGAAAAGAAGCAACACACTCATCGATTTTTTTTAAGGTTGTTTCATTTTTAAGTCAAATATTATACCGGTCTCATTAAATAAGTGGGCTCCTATTTGTTTCCAGGATCAAGACGACAATTAATTTACATGATAACGATGAAAAAAAATGTCAACGTAAGTACGAAAATATGTATTTGGATCTGTAGACATTTCTTAGTAAAGTTATTGCATTGTTTGACCTTAATAAGGAAAAGCTAGTGTCCATGTCATCATCATCACCAATTCTCAACACAAACCACAAAGAGGGGGCCAAAGAGTCAAATTGAAACGAGAACAAAACAAAATCACAAGTGCTGTACTTGGTCTCCAAAACAAGAAACTATATAAAATTCTATCACGAATTCAAGTGTGACTTGGAAGTTCATATTAGATTGAAATAAGTAAGATGAACTATATATACCATTAGAATGACTTACAAACCTGTCAGTTGTGATGTTTAATATAAGTTTGCTCACCTTTTATTGGTACAGAATATCCAGTGTTTCCCCTCAAAAGTAATCCAACAAGTTCCATACATCACACCCTTTCAATAGAAATTAGTTTAATTTCATTACAGACTACGCAAATACGTTCATTAGTATGTTCCAAGTTTGGTATGACTTGACTTAAGCTGAAGAAGAAAGTCAAATATTTTACTAAAATTCATCACACAAGAGAGTCTTTCCAACTATATTTTTTTTTTCAATTGTAACTTTCCAACTTGAAAATTTGTTCGAGGAAACTGAACGTAATTAATGATTAACCACTAACGCTAGCATATGCAACATCAAATTAACACTGAGGAAAACGAGAGATTCTCCTAAAAGAGTTGTAGAAATTCAAAACTGATGCAGTCTTTGCACTTCTGAGGTAGTAAAGAAAATGGGAGAGAAAAATTATGAGTGAGGGAGCAAAGAAAAGGGTACGTACCTATTGTAAGCAGAGATGGCAACCACGTGACCAGGTGAGAGTCCAAGGTGGAGTAGGCCTTGGGCCAAAGACAACACTTCCTCAACCAACTGTTGGCCAGTTTTACGTCGGTTTCCGGTGACAGTGACCGGAAAATGTCGCCGGAAGCCAAGCAAGCGACTCAGACATTGGCAGATATGAGGATGACAATAGTTAGCCATGAAAAATGTGTTATGTCTGAAACATGTTTGTACGTATGTTAGTTGAAGTTAGAAAACGGTGTTTCACGTTCATGCACCTTTTCTTTCCAGTCCCCTAACAAATTTCTCAAATGCTTATCCTCAACATCACCATGTGTCACTTTTCTATTGGTGCATTCTAAATTTCTCTATTATCCATTCTTTGTATCATTACGACCATTGTCGCGTAGAATTTCTCATCACGATTTCTTATAACAAAAACATTATTTTATATGAACTATTTAAAACTAAATAGTTATTTATATACATATATTATGTTTTCTTTTCATACTTTTTAGAACGTTGTTGAATATGTAGAGGCAAGTTATAGAACCTATACATGTAATCATTTACTGATTTAAGGAAAATTTTGGTTTTCTTTCTATAAATTCTATTTATCTTGTATTCTTTCTATAAACATTATATATCTATTTGTTAGTTTCGTGTAGCTGAAAACTCGGTGTTTTTGGAACAGTGGTTAACATAATGTACAAAAATATTAGTAATTAATAATAATGAACTTTTTTACTTTTGTATTACACTTTCTGATATTGTTCGGTCTAAAAGTTGGTTATTACGAGTCCAGTTATAAGTTTGTTTGAACTAATGATACTTTAATAACATTTTTTTGACAATATTTTAACATCATTTACGTGTCATTCTGTGATTAATCTAAAATTACTTTACAATCAATAATAATAATAATCATAAACATCAATATGAACTAATCGAATGACATGTAGATGATACTAAAATATTGTAAAAAAAATATTGTAAAAGTATATATCATTATCCTTTTTTCTTATATGACTACAAGTCGGTTATTACCAATTCGATCATAAGGTGACCTCAACCGTTCACAAGCTGCAATATTATTTAGTTTAGCATAATTTGCATTATTCTATTTATTCATGAGGTAAATAGATAGATCCATATAGATAAAAGTTTATAAATTCACAATTATATTATAAATAGTATATTTATCAAGATAAATAATTTATATTTATATTTATAACATTTTTTTATTATACATCTGATTAACTTGAACATTAGAGAATTTTATGTAAACATACCACCATCAATCCATAGAAGACAACACCTAAAAATAGGATGAAAGGAAACCCACATAAAGGATAAAAAATGAAAGAAGTCCGTTTATGATATACTCGGCTCCGCATACGTTGTTATTAATATTAGTTTAGTTGCTATCTAGATAAATTTTTTAGTTTTAGACGTTTATTGTGATTTAATAGGTTAAGAAAGTATTTGAAATTTTTGCCTAGTCTTATCAACAACAAATTAATAATAATGAGTGATTTATACTTTAGGATGATAGTTGTCTGTTTATATTATTTGTAAAAAGTTTTTACCTTTAGTTGCTATTTAAGGATAGATATTAATCATGGTTAAATAGGTTATGTACAGAATCTTTTTTTTGTCATGTTTTTTTAAACTTTATTAGATACTTTTCGACCTTGCATGTTAACATTCAATCTTACCTGAGTTATCTAATTTGGCTTGACATTTTTCAACATAAGTTAAATCGGTTTACTAGTTTAATTATTTTTTACTTATAGGTAGATAAACACATTTCAGTTTGTTGTGGTAAAACTTTTCATTCTTTTCTTTTAATTGGTGTTTATATTTACCAAAAAAATATATGAAAAATACATCTTAAGCTTTATATAAATATAAAACAAATTTATGTTAACACTTTTTTCTTATTCTAGATGTTAATTTTACATGTTTAATAATAATAATAATAATATGGATAATAAAGTAAAAAGACATTTTATTTTATCATTATAAATTAAATTATACAAATAATATTTATTTTTTATATTTTCTTTTATCTTTTAAAATTATTTGTTATAATTTATCTATACTATTATATAAACATTATTTATATTTTTGTTTACTGATAGAACAAAGAATTTTTTTCCCAAAAATATCAAAGTGGGGAATGATTTTGAATTTCAACTTTCCACTATAGAATAATTCTGGTCAATAACGTGACAGGGAGATAAGATACGACGCAGACTGAATTCATAAATGTCGAGGCTTCGAAACGTATTTGGTAATAAATTAAGTAAATATTTCTCAATGAATAAAATAATATAAAATATATAATAAAGAGATTTTGTAGTTGTTGTAGAACAGTCCAATTCTGACATCGAAACCATCACCACCTTCCTCGCATCGCTCACGTTTGGTGGATTACAAGCTCGCCCATTTCGATTCGTTTGTTTACTCGTAAGCTTCACTTTATCATTCTGATCTCAAATCCGTGCTTACCAATTTTGTCCTTTTCTTTTTCTTCGGTGTCTTTGATTTCCCGTGATAAGACTCGTTTGTTCCATGCAAATGTAGCGCCTCTAGTTTTTCTAATCACTCGCCTGGTATCCATTCTTAATCGACAATTTGACGGAACTCCTAGGTTCTTGCATTCACCGGTCGCGTCGTAAAGAAATCTGAAATTTACTATTACTCTTAAAAAAACTTATTGATGAGAACCAAAAAAAAATTCTGGTAGGTAGGGTTCAATGTTCATTTTTCCCCCCTTTGATTATCAAGGGATTTCGCATCATTTGTATGATGATATGGTGGATTCTCCAAAATCTGTTTTTTTTTTTTCTGTTTTATGAGGAGGAGCAATTATTGAAGTTGGTGTTTTTGGTATTTTGGTTTTTCTTTTCTACTTCAAAGAGCGATGCTTGGATGTGTGTGTTTGTGTTTTTCTACCATATGCAGACCTTGCATATAACGGGTGAGAAAAAAAAAGTGTGGATGTTTGTAAACGACTTCAAAAAACCGAGTTCTGATTATGTGATCACCTCTCTTTTCTTTAGTTGTATAAGTGTTTTGGTTTCCTTCTCTTCGGAGTATAACTGGACTACTTTTTCTTCGTAACTATTCTATTCATCATGTGATTATCTAAATCTTATTTTCTTCCTGTGGTGTAAGACTGAATGTAGAGGACATGTTTTGTAACAGGATGAATACAACTTAGACCAGGTTCTTTAGGTGCTTCTAGTGTTGTTTTCCTACCAATGTTCTTTTGGTGGTGTTCTTCAATTAGAATTAGAGTTTATTGCATGATTATTGGGATGAAACTTCATTTTTCATTAGGCAGCGGTACCAAAAGGCTAAACCACATAGGGAACTGTATTCAAGTTTTTGTCCTTACGGTTTTAGTTGAGTTTTCAGTTTGTTGGCACAATTTGGAATTGAAAAACTTAAATCAGATATTTCTTTCTACTTTTCCAGGTTGTTTTGCTTGACTATTGTAGAGGTTGCAGCCTTGATGACCGTGGGCTTTAAACTTGTCAATAAATAACAGTCGAATGGAACTTGGAAGACCTGCCTCAAGTAATCTTATGATATTTAGTTTGGCATTATATATTAATGAGGTGTTTACAGCTGAGAATATTGTTGTTGGCTCAGAACAGGCAGTGACATTCCATCGACCTATTCCAATATATGTGTGAATGATTGGTCCTGCATATTACCAAAATTCGTTAACCTTCAGTTCCTGTAATGATTTATGCATTTGGAAAGTTTTTACCTGGTTTATTTACAACTCATTACAAAACTCGATACTTTCTAATGACATTTGTTTGGAGTAATGATACACACACAAATAAAAAAGGCTTGTAATTTTGAAGAATTCAGCCCGATGCAAGAGCAATTGTTAGATAAGATAGAGAGGTTGGGAATTAGGGATCATTCATCTATCCAAGTGTTAATTTAATGATTATGGCAACTCATTTTTCTCAAAAGTGGCAAAAATATTCTTTATATTTTTGTCCAATCATTGAAGGGTTGGAGAAAGAATATTTCACTAGCATTTCTTTTAGGTTACTTCTGCAATTAGCTTTCCGATATTGTTTAATGCTTCAGATACATGTAACCTTCAAGAGGTTTCAGCAAATGACTGTTGACTAGATGGTTATCAATGGAAACTGTATCTGGTTAAAAATTGCATACTTTACCAGTAAATATTCCCTATGGCTTGGGCATTTAGGGTTTGGAGGGAAAGGAGGGTATACCTTCGTTAAATGGAGAAAGTTGTTAAACATTTATGAAAGATGAGCGGGGATGATTGGAAAATTACTTATAATATCTTGTTTTTCTCCTTTTATTTTTTTATAAAGAAAGGTATCTCATAGAGTACTTAAAACAGTAAGTATACCCTCCCTTCCCTAGGCCCCAAATCCTCCATCCAAACATGGCCTTAAAAAATTGAACATATCTGTAAAAGCTTTAAGGTTCTTTAGAATGCCTATGGAGTGTATTTGGGGGACATTGCAGCGCTATTTTAACTTATTTTTTCTTGAGAAGTTGAATGATTGGAACGTCTTTTACAGGTAGAAGAAAATTGAAAGATTTATTGCTTAAAAAAGATAATCGTAATTGTGCTGATTGTAATGCTCCAGATCCTAAATGGGCGTAAGTGTTGCCTTTGTTCCCTCATTTGTTTATGTTAATTGGCATTATCATACTTGTTTTGGCAAACTGATTATGAATATGACATAAGACTGAAAATATGAGAAAAAGTGCTTAAGAGATTGATTGTCTCTCGGCTAATCTTTTTTATTTATAGAAGAAAATTACACAAGGAATATCTAGGTAATTAATGCCAACTACTTCCATTAAATACCTATTCTAACAACTACCTATATTTAATAAATATTCTAACAGACTTAAAGTTGTAGGAAGCTAAGTGCTTGTAAAATATATTAAAGAATGCATCATGAATATCACCCATTCAATTGTCAATTCACTTTCGATAAGTGCTTTTCAGGTCTGCCAACATTGGAGTTTTTATATGCTTAAAATGTTGTGGAGTGCACAGAAGCCTCGGTACTCATATATCAAAGGTGAACCACTCACCACCATTCTTAGGTTGTGTCATTGTTCTGGAATTGATGTCTGGATCTTAGAATTACTTTTTCTTCTCGTGCCTAATATTAAATTTGGTTCTTGAATTGAGCATCTTCTTTTTGTCTTCAACAAATTTAAAGGCTGATAATGCATATGTTGGGGTT